ATCGCCTGCACACCTATGATGTCATCATTCTCACCGCATATGGCTGCACGTAGTTAGCCTGGCATTATGGTGTGGACAGCACTCTCTACGGGGCCCATCATGCGAGAGGGGGCACTGAAGGTGGACTCGACCTGGAAGTACTAAGCTAGATACCCAGGCTTAACCTCCGTCCCCTTCTGTGTGAAGGTGGTACGTCCCTCAGTAAGGTCGGTCCGCTCACCTCTATGCGCGGCTCTTGGCCGTCGAGCGTCACGGAGGCACCCCAGCGAGTTTCCGTTTCAGGCCCATAGACACTCATTTCCTGAAATAAACTGCCCCCCCACCCCAAACACACAGGTAGATAAAAAAACCTGCCGACGTCAGTCTTACTGAAGGCCCACTTTTTCTGCTGCTCAGTCACCTTAAGCAAAGGTAACCAGGTCATTGATTGGCTGGGTGTCTCCCTTTAGGGGGGGGGCGGCAGCATGCCGCCACACTGCAGCAGTCCCACTCCTGCCAGCCCCTGATAAATCTCCATTCTGGCATGGCTGCGGCAAGATTATTGCTGGTGTTATTTATGTGCGCGCCCCCCTCCTCCCCTTCCTGCCCCACACTTTTGACGTCACCGAGTCAGTGGGGCGGCGTTTGTGTGGCGGCAGGCAGGGGGGGGGGGGGGGGGGGGATTGTGGGCCCACTTTCTTTTATTACTTTCACTGCTGCCAAAAATGTCCGACCCTCTTTTAGCCACGCAAAATCGATAGGATTGGCCCAGCTTGGCTCTGTGTAGGCAGGCCCCCAGCTGGCATGGCCTTGTTTGGGGGGGGGGGGCTTTATGGCTTTATGATAATAATTCATCACCTTCTCAGTGTCGGCTGTGTTTAGGGGAGCATGTACATGCGTTTAAGCTTTGTGCGCCCTTCTGTGTGTCTTTGTGCCCTCTGCGAACATCGGCCTGCAGGCCTTTTGTGAGCTGGCCTGCCTCTCCTGAGTCTCAGAGCTTCTGGTGTCACGCATCACACCAGCTTTGGCCACGAGAGGGCAGCAACGCGCAGCTGCGGCGTTATAGTCATTCATATGGTCCATGACTCCTGGCCTCGAGGTTATGTCCACTAAACCTAAAATTAGATTGTTTTATTATGGATTTGAAGCTATTTTATAACTTCCTGTTCACATTATCTAGTAATAAGAAAGCAGCCGAGCATTTCTTACTTTGAGAAAAATTGTACTTTCGAAGATAACCAGGACATTAATGCTTGAAGTCATGGGGCTATTCCATTGAAGAATTTTGAGCAAAAAAGTACTTAATGCGCAATATGGATATTTTTTTTTCTTGGTATTTTTTGCACAATATTTTTATAACAATAATATCCCCTTTATCTTCTTCCAAAAAAAAATAATAAAAAATAAACTCCTAGCCTCTTTTGCTGATGGAACACAGCACATTGAAAAGGCTAACTCTACAGAGAATCACTTGAAAGATACCGGAAATGCATGTTTAAAGATTTTTTTTATTAGATTAATAAAGCATAAAGGGCGGAAAACGTTCTCAACGGATAAAACTTGTTAGACGATGCTTGGAAAATTCACAGCGGCATTAAAAAAACGCCCAGAACCAGTAAAATAAACGCCAGGGACCGATGCTGGGAAGCAAATCAGTGCGTTTTATGGTTTCCCTGTAAATGACAAGAAATCGGCCCCATAAAGTTTTATCCGGTTTAACAAAAGCGCCAGGCTTAACCTTGAGAACTGGGCCAGAAGTGTCTTGATGTGAACAGTTTGCCTCCCCCCTCCTGTCGCTAGGGGGCCTTGGCCGGGAATGTGGTGGACCTCTCCATGATCAACGAGGCGCGTAACCTGGTAACGGAGCTGCTGGCGGACCCCGCGGTGCCGGTGCAGGTCGCCTCCTCGCTGCGCTGCGTCAGCAGCCTCATGGGCACCTTCTCGGGCTCCTGCCGGCCTCGCGTCAACCCATTCACTCCCTTCCCCGGCTTCTACCCCTGCACCGGGGCCGAGGACCCCGTCGACAAGGCCGACAGGAAGCCGCACAAGGTGGGATCCGGATTCCGGAACCATGTCCGTGTCTGGAGACCCTGCGGAGAATGAACATGGGCTGGTGTTTGATTCCCAGCACTTGTACTGTTTTAAATCTGATCACTGGTGTCTTGTCATATATGACAAATATATTCTTATCTAGTCATGGATTCTAATCACTGGATGCCAATGATATTCCTTAGAGTTTATTGCTATTTTTTTTAACAGCATTTCTGTTGTTTGGCGCCATTTGGATGATGAGATCCTGGGTAAAAGGGGCCGACTGCAATTGTTGCCGCCATTGTGTCCCTCTGTCTCCCCCTACAGGTCATGAGCAGCAGGAACAGCCTGCCCACTCCGCAGCCGCGGCGCAGCTCCACCACCTCCACCCTCCCGGCACTGGAGTTGGCGGCGGCGGCGGCGGCGACACGCTGGGAGCGCAGTAACGGCAAGAGGCCCCACGCGGAGCTCTCGCTGACCAGGTGAGGGCGCTCTGCCTTCCAATGTCTCTTAATTTCACCTTTTTATTTTTTTGGCCGCCGTGGGGCTCATCACATTTACAACATTTAGTTTACAATGATGGCTGTGCAGTGACATCATTCAAAGCAGAGCCGCTATGATGATGATTGGATGAGCGTTTGATTTGGGAGGTATGATTTTGGTGCATAACCACACCATCCACCACCTTGGTTGCCTCCAGCTTGTTCCACCAGGCAGAGATACTCCCTGAACAGGATGCGAGTTCGCAGCAGAGCACAGAAACATGCATGTTCACTTACAAACACACACTATGGGCAACAACGAGACGGTAAGGTGCATAAATATGTATGTTTGGATTGTGGGAGGGACCTGGAGTGACACGAGGAGAGCATGCAAACTTACACACAGAGCAGACACTGGATTCAAATCACACATGATTAGAGTAATAATAGGTAACGCTTTACATTAACTTCACCCTCATAATGAACTCATTTAGCATTCAAAGAACATTCGTAAGCTGCATGTAAGTATACCTTAACATCCTAACATACCTTAACAGCTTTAATATACATTAATAAGAAAGATCATATCATTATATGATTATAAACTTTGCCATTATCATATAATATTTGGTAGTATATTTAAGCCGTTAAAGTATGCTAGAATGTTACGGTATACATACATGCTGCTTATGAATGCTCTATGAATGCTTTATAAATGCATTATGAAGGTGTACTGAATGTTCAAACGTGAAAACCCACAGACAGAACAGCCCTTGCTGGATAAGATTGCCCACCCCTGTTCTATAGCCAAGTGCCTTCTTATGGGTTATAGTGTAGCATTGTTTAAATGTGTTTTAAATTACACATGCAAGGTAAGAAGTGTCATTTATCTGTCATTTAAGCCATTTGGACTTTTTGATGGTACATTTTATTCTGATATAAGACATGGGCTGGGTCGGATTGTCCTTAATTTTCCACTAGATGGCAGTAAACAGCTGAGATGCAGTGTATTGTTTTGTCTGCAAAATGTTCATGTAACTCGGCTCTTATGCAGTGGTCTTTTCGGGAAGCACTGTCGTTTTTGCAGTTTTTTATTGTCTTAAGCGTCACATGCTGACGACAAAGCACTCTGCCTGATGTGAGTTGGATATATTTTGCACACAGACGCTTGGCTGTGGGCAGTGTAATCTCTCCGGATGAGGATGGTACAGGCCTGGCTCGAGGGTCATGTGATCTGGCAAGGCCTTCACCCGTGTGACTGACAAGGCGACCTTTTGTTTCAAAGCCAGGGTTCCCCACCCAACGGACCGAATGCCAGCCTGCTGACCATCCCCAAACCGCGGTCCTCCTCGGTGTCCCTCACGTACCACGCAGCACCCAGGAGGGCAGGTGAGTCAGGAAGTCGGGGGTGCTGTACACCCCATATGCTGACATATTTCAGCTGTGAGTACGATGGACTGGGACTTGCCCAGGAGACACCCTGGGTGGGATGCCAGTCCATCACAGGATGTAAAACATGCAGGCTGATTTATAGGCCCAGTCCATCTGCAGTGTGAAACCACAAAACAAACAAGTGCACTGCTGGTTAGAGCTTCGAACCCGTGGCCACCTACCGAGCACCTTCAGCTGTCTTGTGGGGGAGTGATACGCTGAAATAGAGGTGCTGCCTGACAGTGTTTCCTTTTGTTGGGATTAGTGTTTTTCTTATAGAAATGGAGAGTCCCCGCAAAGATATGCATACAGACGTGTGTGTGTGTGTGTGTGTGTCTGCAGGCACGTCCCCCAGCTTGAGCCCGCTCAGCTCCCCCAGTCACAGCCCTCCGTCTGCCAGCCTGGGCCCAGTGAAGCGCTCCCCTGTCGAGTTCCCCGACACGGCAGACTTCCTGACCAAGCCCAGCGTCAGCCTGCACAAGCCACTGGGGTACACCCTCAGCTCGCCCGACTTCCATCCCCAGTACCGGGTGCCCGGTGCACTCATTTGCGCCAGGTATGGCCCATGCACCGCCCACCACCCTTAAGTCCCGCCCACCACCACAAGCCCCACCCACCACCATTCCAAGCCCCTCCCTCCAGGGTACAAATTCGGGGGAGTTTTCAGGATATTCATGCACCATGGCTGTGAGCCTGAGAGCACCGTGGGCCGCTAGCTGTCAGAATCCTAACATGATCTATATCATGGCTGCAAACATCCACTGAGTGTTCAGGCTCCTTAGACATGCTACCATCATGTGGTTCTGGGTGGTATTACTGACCCAAAATGGTTTATGGTAAGTCTGACTGAGGTATGTATGGATAAGAATAGTAAAATCTACGAGGTAGGGACATTCAGGAGTACAACTGTGTATCCAACCTGTTTAAACCGGATCTAAGCTGTGGATTGTTTTGATATTTGACTTGTCTATGGGAATGGGGGGCTTCACTATGAGATGGGAAACAGTTACTAAGGACAGTAAAAAGCCTTTATTAGCTGGGGACAGACTTGGTATCCATATGTCTGATGGCGTCACACGCAAGTAATAATTTCTCTGTACTGTGTCTGTGTCACTTATGGAGGTGATTCCTAGTCTGATGCAGGGATACTTTTAGGCCATACAAGCTGAGAAATTTTATTACAGAAGCCTTGAACTGTCCTCAAGAGAAATGGTCTTATCTCTGAGAAGACTAATATAAATGTATATACAAGGCATATTGTACAAAAAAAGGCTTCTTTGTATGACAAAACAATGGCACTGAAATTGAGCTTATTGAGCACAATATAAGTATTACACATGAAAGCTAATGTGAGCTACTCCACGTTTCAGACGCTCTGTCCTGCACGCCATGCCGCGCCAGTTAATTTGTGCGTATTTCACACCCCCATGACCACCTCCCACCTGTGTGAAAAAATGCCGGACCTTTCACTGATTTTCTTTCCCTTCCTCTGCCATTTTTGTAATTCCCTAATTTGTGGAAGTTTCCAAGTTAACCATCATTCATTATTTGAATGCATATTTTTATATGTGAACCTTTCGGTTAGCGTCCAAATCAGATCTGAACAGGCTTTAAATCGGTATTTCTCACCAGGTGGCTGGGTCGTGAAATGATTTTCAGTGGGTTGTGGAGTGCACGGTAAAAACACACACACACACACACACACACACACACACACCCCACATATACCAGCCCCACCCCCCAGTTGACAACGTTTATTGGGAATTTTGGTTGTGCTTTACTGACAAAGGAACAATGTTGATCCTGAGCCGTGTGTGCATACATGTTAATTGTCGCTTGCGTGTGTGCGTGCGTGCGTGCGTGCGTGTGTGTGTGTGTGTGTGTGTGTGTGTGTGTG